GTTCATGCCGTTACCGCTGTCGATCCTCTCGAGGTAAATTTAGCCTCGGGACGAAAGATAGTGACCTCAGCTAAAGCCTCAAATCTTAGCCTTTCCATCGGTGGCCGAGTATTGACTGCCGACGCGTTTGTTCTCGAGATGAGGGATTTCGACCTTATTCTCGGAATGGATTGGCTATCCTTCTATCATGCAGACATCAGGTGTCATGACCGGGAGATCACTCTTTATCTTCCGGGAGATGAATCGATCACTTTCTTCGGTTCCAGGAATCGTTCACTGCCTCATGTTGTTTCGGTGGCGAAAGCCACTAAGCTACTGCGACGATGCAACAGCCAGGGTTATCTGGTGAGCCTTGTCGACGAGTCTCAGAAAGCGCGAACACCTTATGATGTTCCAATTGTTCGCGAGTTTGTGGACGTATTTACAGACGAACTTCCAGGAGGACCGCCTAACCGACAGGTAGAGTTCTCTATCGATCTCATTCCAGGGGCCAGTCCAGTATCTAAAGCCCCATACCGTATGGCGCCTAAGGAGTTGCAGGAGCTTAAGACTCAGATTCTGGAGCTGTTACGACTCGGTTTCATCCGACCGAGCGTGTCACCATGGGGAGCACCCGTTCTCTTTTTCAAGAAGAAGGACGGATCCATGCGCATGTGTATCGACTACCGGGATCTTAACCGATTAACAATCAAGAACAAGTACCCGCTTCCCGGGATCGACGACTTATTTGATCAGTTGAGGGGAGCCTATGTGTTCTCAAAGATTGATTTGCGATCAGGCTACCACCAACTGAAGATTAAGGAATCAGATATCGCTAAGACCGCTTTCAGGACTCGTTACGGCCATTACGAGTTCGTCGTCATGCCTTTCGGTCTCAGCAATGCGCCAGCAGTTTTCATGGACCTCATGAACCGTATATTCCATCCCTACCTCGATCAGTTCGTTATTGTCTTTATTGACGATATTCTTATCTACTCGAAGAGCCAGAAGGAGCACGAGGAGCATCTGAGGGTGGTTCTCGAAACCCTCAGACGAGAAAAGTTGTTTGCAAAATTCTCCAAATGCGAGTTCTGGCTCCAGCGAGTATCCTTTCTGGGTCATGTGATTACTCAGGCTGGTATCGAGGTGGATCCTTCCAAGGTCTCAGCCGTTCAGAACTGGTCGACACCGAGGAGTCCGTCCGAGGTTCGCAGTTTTCTCAGTTTAGTTGGTTACTATCGCAGGTTCATCGAGGGCTTTTCCAAGATCGCCCTCCCTCTTTCCCAGCTGACGAGGAAGTCTGTGAAGTTCGAGTGGACTGATCGTTGTGAGACGAGCTTTCAGGAGCTCAAGAGGAGGTTAACTTCAGCACCGGTATTGACTATTCCCGATCCTTCTCGGAGTTTCACTATCTTCAGTGATGCTTCGAGACAGGGCTTGGGATGTGTCCTTATGCAGGACGGACAGGTCGTTGCGTATGATTCACGTCAGCTTAAGCCTCATGAGCAGAATTATCCGACGCACGACTTGGAGTTAGCAGCAGTCGTTCATGCTCTCAAGATCTGGCGACATTATCTTTACGGCGGACGTTGCGAGATTTTCACAGATCATAAGAGCCTGCAGTACATCTTCACGCAGAAGGAACTCAATATGAGGCAGCGCCGTTGGCTCGAACTTGTCAAGGATTACGATTGTTCTATTCAGTATCATCCAGGAAAGGCGAACGTCATCGCGGACGCCCTTAGCCGAAAGGTGAAGGGTGACTTGACGTACGTCATTACGCAGCAAAGTCTGTTGATTCAGGAGTTTGCCCGGATGCAGCTTCAGGCGATCGATGCACTTCCCATAATCGTTTCGGGGAGTACCAGTGCCAGTATTAGCGCTATGCAGCTTCAGCCGACGCTGAGAGAGAGAATCCGACGAGAGCAGGCTTCTGACAAGTTTGTTCGTGTCATGAAGGCCAAGGTTCGCGCCGGGGGCGTCCAGGATTTTCAGTTAGGTGCCGATGGTGCCTTAGAGTTCAGAGGCAGGATCGTGGTCCCGAAGGTCGAGGCATTGCGGAAGGAGATTTTATCAGAGGCTCATACCGCACCCTATCTGGCCCATCCCGGGAGCACGAAGATGTATCACGACCTGAAAGGGTCATTCTGGTGGCGAGGCATGAAGAAGGACGTCGCCGAGTTTGTCAGGAGGTGTTTTACCTGTCAGCAAGTCAAAGCCGAACATCAAAGTCCGATCGGCCTCCTGCAGCCACTGCCGATTCCGAGGTGGAAGTGGGAGGAAGTCACGATGGATTTCGTTACGGGATTACCGAGGTCGTCTGAACATCACGACGCTATTTGGGTTGTGGTCGACAGATTGACTAAGGTCGCTCATTTCTTACCCGTTTCGATGAAGATGCCTTTGGATAAGTTGGCTGAGATATATACCCGTGGGATCATCCGACTTCACGGAGTGCCCGTTACTATCGTATCAGACAGAGATCCCAGATTCATCAGTGGATTCTGGCACAGTTTACATGAGGCGATGGGCACAAAGCTAGAGTTCAGTTCAGCCTACCATCTAGAGACAGATGGTCAGTCCGAGAGGACTATTCAAACGCTTGAGGATATGCTTCGCGCTTTGGTTGTTGATAGGAGTGCTAAGTTGGAGTCGTTGTTGCCGTACGCAGAGTTCGCGTATAACAACAGCTATCATTCTTCTATTCAGATGGCTCCTTACGAGGCACTTTATGGTCGCAAATGTCGTTCCCCTCTCTATTGGGACGACGTCGGAGAGCGACGAGTACTCGGTCCTAAGATGATCGAGGAGACAGCGGAGCAGGTCGAGTTGATCCGGCAGAGACTCAGAAAAGCTCAGAGTCGACAGAAATCTTCCGCCGATCATCATCGACGAGACATTCAGTTCGAGGTTGGCGAGCCAGCCTTTCTCAGAGTTCGTCCGATTCGCAGAGTTGTACGATTCGGAAAGAGAGGGAAGCTGCACCCTCGATTTATCGGTCCATTCGAGGTTCTTGAGCGAGTAGGCGAGGTCGCGTATCGATTAGCCCTACCTCCGGAGTTATCAGGTATTCATACGCGTCTATGTTGCGTAAGTACGTGTGCGACCCCGATCATGTCATTCCTCTCACGGATATTCAGGTTCAGCCAGATCTATCGTACGAGGAGCGACCGGTAGCTGTACTAGACCATCAGGTTCGTCGGCTCCGGAAGCGAGATATTCCCCTCGTGCGTATTCAGTGGGATCGCCACGGAGCTACTTGGGAGGAGGAGTCCGATATTCGCGCTCGTTTTCCAGACTTTCAGTTTTGATGTACATAATTCATGTATATCAGTCATGTTTTGAATTTCCGAGGACGGAAATTTTGTAAGGAGGGAGGATTGTAATATCCCGTCAGTTTATTAATATAAATCATGTTTTAGTTCCGATATAATAACGTTATCAATTATTATTTTCGGAATTAATTACTTTCAGTCAAGATTACCGAAAATTATTTTCGAAGTACCGTTTACGTTCGGAATAATTTTGGTAATTAAGTATTATGTTTAATTGAATAATTAAACATACTTTAGTGACTAATTGAACAAATTAATCACACTTGAACGATTCAGCCGTGAGATGTTCCCAATTGTCCATTTCCGTGCGCTTTTCTCATAAGTGGGGAAAATTAACTTTCTCCCTCTATTTTGATTATTAAACGTGGTAATAGTAGAGGGAGATTAGTCATCCCAAGTTAGTTAATAAAGTGGCAAGTGTTAGAAGGAGAGGGAGTTACGCCATCATTTTCCCAATTCTCTCGGCTTTGTTCATGAATAGATGTTGGGATCGATTTTTCTTCCATTTTTCCCTTATGGAAAGTTCAGCAAGTTAGAGAGCAGAGTATAGAGTGAGAGAGAGATCAAAAATTTGTTCCATACTTCAAGCATAGCAAGAAGCCATCACCGCAATACTCCCACACGGCGTCAAACTCACCGCACCGAGATCGTTCCTTAGCCGAGGTGTAATTAGTTGGAGATTTCAGAGGTAATATCAGGTTTCTTTTGAGTTAATTAGGTGAGTAATAAGTTGGTTTAATCGGAATTCAAGTCGAGTTCATGTAGGGATCTAGAACCGTTCGGCCATGTGCATGTCCGTGTGTATATGTGTGTGTCCGGGATTGAGTATATGAGATTATCATGTTTATTTCAGCGGTTATTTGATTAAGTAAGCCTATTTAGTTGAATAAGATGATATATGTTCAATTATTTAGGTTGCTGAATATATGTTGTATTAATTAAGAGATTCGGTCGAGAGGGTAGTCGCACACCTTGTGTGTCCCCGGGCCGAACAAGGCATTAGATCGTGTCAGGGATAAACCATCAAATTTTCAGGTCTATTCATTCATTAAAAGTTATGTTATATTCAAGTAATGGTGATGTGCTGAGAGGAAGGTCAAGATGGCCGAGTGGCGGCCTATTGCCGTCGGCGGCGCACGATGCGCCCGCCACGGTCCTCATTTAGTCGATAGTGCATAAGTTGATTAATTCTAGTAAATTCAGTCATTATGTTTAAGTCATGCCAGGAGATGTTAATTGAAGTCAGTTCGGTCGGGAGTTAGTGTCGGACGGCCAGCAAGGGTCGGTCGTGGTGTTGCGCTGCCCGCACATAGCGGCAGCAGCGCACCGGCCCTCAGTCACTGCGTGACGGTCAGCATATGCGCAAGCTAGGCTGCGTGCGTGTTGCCTGTGCGCGGTAGAATTGTGGGCGACGCCCAGTAGCACGCCCGCATCGTCCAGTACATGCCACGGCCAGGCCGGACAGCGCTAGCGTGCGCAGCCCTGGCAGGCCGCTGGCCAAGCCCGCAACCCACAGTCCGGTTCAGCGGACCGACCGTCCAGTTCAGACCGGTTCAGACCGGCTGGACCGGTCCAGTCCCAAATTTTACGGTTTAATCCGTATTTTAAGGTTTCAGCCCCGGTTCTTAATTTCAGTACCAGTTTCAGTTAAAATCCCGGGTGTCATTCAGTCCAGTAAAATAATATCAGTTCAGTTCAGTTCCATACTTAACCGGTTCTAGTTAAACCAATTAAGTCCGGATGTCATGTTAGTCGAGTAGAGCATCTTAACGTAATTAATCAGTTAAATTATCAGTCTGAGCATAGTCCTTAGTAATTGTTTATATTATGTTTTCAGTTTGATCAGGCATCAGCACTACCTGCATTTTCAGCTATTCAGGTGGGGACTCAGACTGGGTATTACATTGATTATAATTACGCTACCATGTTTGAGGTATGTATTACCAGTATCCACTCGGAATGGTCGCCGGTCCATTCTGGGTTCTAGTGGCCCTAGTCTGCCCACTAGAGTGTGCACATGGTGTCCGGCTTTGCCAGCAGATGTTCAGGTTCAGTTCAGATGTGACTTATGTCACGAGATCAGTATCAGATTATTCAGACCGGTATCAGATATCGGTTTCAGTTCAGTTATATATGCCAGGATCATGATATTGCTATTATTTTCACTGTTTTACTTTAGTATGAGTTTCCATGAGGCACAGTGTGTTAGTGCTCACTTCCCACTTATTTCATGTTT